TGGTATTCAGCCAAATATTCTGGAATTGATATAATTAAAATTTATGATTCAAATTGAAAATCTTAAATTTTTACATTTCGTGGTTATTTTTTTGTATGTTCCGTGGATATTGTTGAAACATAACAATTTCCATTTCTCTGTGTCAATGATAAGTTGATTTGAATTCTGCTTCACATTTGAGACACAACAGGGAGAAAGGCACTCAAAATAAAAGGAAAGTGTGATTTAATTAATAAACACTCGCGAATAAAAACATTTCTTTAATTATCCTGAAATTAGTATTTGTTTTAATCAAATAATAATCAATCCTTGTACAAACAACTGCTTGGTCGCGTTAATCTGTCACCTCGTTTTCACTACGTCCGACATCTTTAGGGCGCACTCACACCTCTGGATGCCTGCACAGGCAGCCTCCCACCACGCAGAAAACGTACAAGAGTAAGAGAGACAGAAAATTCAAATTTAAATCTACTGACTCTCTGATTGGCTCTCACTGGCTGCCTGTGCAGGCAGCCAGAGGTGTGAGTGCGCCCTTAAAGTTATATCGTATACAGTATTCTGCGCATGCTTGCGTTGAACTCGAATAAACTTTTATTTGAATTAAATATATTATTTATTTGCCACAAATGTACCTTTTTAAAAAGTACTAATAATATTGTTTATTTGTAAGAAACATATACGACAATTTCAAACAAACATTTATTTATTTAATTTAAATAAAATATTTATTTGAAATAAATAAGATAAATAAATAAATAAGAATGATTTAAATATATGTTTTTATTCAAAACTAATAAATTTTTTCTCTGGGTGTACGAAAACGCGACTTGCACACTGTTACTCCTGATTAATATTCACCATGGGAACAAGTGCGAAAATATCGCAATCAAATTTAACCTAAAAACATATTTTATTAGTCTTTATAGCGTGTCATGTAAAAACATGATGAATATTAATCAGGAGTAACAGTGCGCAAGTCGCGTTTTCGTATTCTTCAGCGCACGCTATTACTCCGCGATTTTGAAAAAAATTTCTGTTTTAAAACAGGAATCTATCGTTTTTTTCATGTTTTGATCTTCCTAGTCTGCAAATTTATTTTTTAATTCTTAATTTGTGATTAAAGATTTCATTCATATTTATTAATTATCAAGTTATCTGGTATTGTTTTGAAAATCATTCATTTTAAATTGCTTAATAACTTCTACAAATAAAACAAAATTTTAGATAAATAATTAAAATATTACTTTATTATTTATTTTCTAAACTAATTTTTTTATAAAACTAACAATAATCGTTGGGTTTGAATGAGAGAAAATGATTATTGTTTGATTTCCATACAGATAATTAAAAACGTAAAATTTGAAAATTCGAAAAAAATAGTTCCCATCGTTTTCCCATTATCGGACTAGGCTCAAAAGTCGTCAAATTTAGAGCAGTTTTTGTAAAAAAATTTTGAAAAAAATCGATAGATACACACAGGTTCAAAAATGAATTTTTAGTCTTAAATCTCAAAAATCTAATAGAAATTATTTTCGAAAATAACTTTCAATATTTTTTTTGGAAAGTACGTTTAAAAACAAAAAATTTGATAGAAGATTGATCCAATTTGGTCAATTTTTAGCGAAAGGACAAGCATCTCAAAAAAAGTGACGTAATTTTTCAAAAATTGATATCTCCTAAAGGGCTTGTTAAAAAAATTTGAAAATAATCGTGAAAGCTAGTCTTCATGAGTACTAAAAGGAAAAAATTTTTTAAAATGATCTGAGGTGCAAAAGCCAAATGGTCTCCGATTTGGCATGGAATACCTCATAGGGTAAGTCCGGGGGAGTTGGCCATAGTTTTTTTAAAGGTCTGTAAAAATAAAAAGAAAGTGATTTATGTATTAACTTTTATTGATAATTAAACATTGAACATTTAACTTACAAAAAATGATAGAAATGAGAAATTTTTTAAATGCAAACAATCTTAAAATTAATATTTTTAAAAAAACGCGTTTGGCCATCTCTCCCGGAATGTACGGGGGAGATGGCCAATACTTTAAAATCAATTTTTAGCTTTTCGCTTTATCAAAATTTTTAATTTAAAGGGATTAAAGTCTTTTTTTCTTGTTCTGACTACATTTCGAACATTTATGATTAAATTCAGTGCAATTTTCATAAGCGCTATCTGTTTGTCTGTCTCACCAACAACAAGGCTACAAGGAAATTTTTCGAGATATCAGAGTGGTTTCTAATTTATTTTTGTGTCCTGAACATGATTCCGGGTTCTAAAATTACGTATCACGTCAGGATTTTGTCATTTTTGAGAGATTAATATGATAAATAAGCCTACCAAATTTTACCCAAATCCATTAAAACCTGTTAAAGATATCGTGTTCACAAAAACGAACCACACACACATACACACACACGCACACAAACACCCGGACAATTGATCAGGATTACATGTTTCTATATAGAGAAAAATTTGTTTTCACCATTTTTAAAAATTTTATAAACGAAAGGACTACAAAGCTTCCTCCACGAGGAAGCAAAAGGAGTAAAAAATGACCTAAACAATATTTTATTATAATAATAAGTTGGTTTTTTTAATTATTGTCCTTAAGAGGCTTCAATTCCCCCACCTTCCCCTATCTATTGATCACGAAAATAAAATGAATTCATTCTTGGATTTTTTTACCTCACAAAAATTTATAACAATTATTTCAAAGATTTTATGAAATAAAACTGTATATCAATTTCAGTTGAATATTATTAATAAATTATTTGCACCACAAATAATTATATTAAAACAAAAGAAATGATTGATGAATTACATAATTAAAAATAAGTTAATAAAAGACGACCGTAAAATATAAATGGTAAAAAAGTTTGAAAATTTAATTTAAGAATACATAAAATATATCGAATTATGAAGAACTATCGAGTATTAAGAAATGTGATAATAAATTAGAGATTTTCTACTTTTAACAACAAAAATGGAAACACAAAGAGTTAACTATTTATCGTTTATTATTCATTAAATAAACAATATTAATAAAAAATCATCGTTTTCTACCTATTATTCGACATTAAAAACTTGTCTTTCTTTTCTTTTAATAAGTAATAATTTTATTTTAGTCATTGCAAATATATATACACTTCCAACGACGTCAGATAAACGTTTCGACATCACAGGTATGTCATTTTCAATATCAATGGATACTTCAAAGAAAAAATTGTTTTTTAATTTAGTTAACCTCAAAACTGGATTCGCTGTTGTCAGTTATTTTAAATAAAAAAACATCATGGACATGATTGTTATCTGTTCCATGATGAAAATTTCTGCCTCAACTGCGATTAAAAAAATGCAACAGAGAATCCAGTTTTGAGGTTAACTAAACTAAAAAAAAAATTTTCTTTTAAGTATCCATTGATATTGAAAATGTTCTACCGATTAGAACAATTTTAAGACTTTTATTTAATGTTTTTAATCACCGACATAATACTGATTCGGTGTATATGACAGTGTACTGCCAGTACTGGTTAGGTTTAATATTTTATTACCTACGACATATTACAGATTCGGTGTATAGGTCGGTACACTGCCAGTACTTAAAGTCAATACTGACGGCCAGTATTGGGTCAGTACCATGCTGGTGTTTAATTCCGGCGAGCTACGGACATTTCCTACTTGGGATGAGATATGGAGTTTATTTTATCATATAATTAAAATCGCATTATTGTAAGTACAGTCGTTGAATAGTTTTGTATACCCAGATAGCACAAAAATTTGCAGCAATTCTTCAGCAAGTTTACAATGCCAAATTTGTTAGTTTGCAATGTAAATTTGCTGCAAAACTGTGGCAAATAGCTATATGTCCACGCTTTGCGAAGTTTGCAGAAAAATTTTACATATAATTTGCAGAAAATTTTTATGGCAAACTTGAAGAAAATTTGCTGATAATTTGCTCAAGTTCATGTCATGCGCAGTAGTTTTCTTTGGCACTTAGGGCTGCGCAATAGATTTTAGTCGCAGTAACAAAATATCATCATATTTACAACAATGACATTTTTTAATTTTTGTCGAAAAATGTCCGCAAGTTTTCTTAAAATTTGTCATAAAATTTTCCTGCAATTTTTCTGAGAAATTTTTCTGCAAACTTGCAATGCGAACTTCGCAAAGCCAGGACATATAGCTATTTGCCACAGTTTTGCAGCAAATTTACATTGTAAACTTATAATTTGGCATTGCAAATTTGCTGCAAAAAGTTGTGCTATCTGGGTAAATGTTTCATTTTTCTTGTAGAAGGGTAAAAATATTAATCCAGTTCCCAGTGTTGCGACATTATTGCACCAGTATTAGATTTCAATATACTGGCAGTTAGTACTGCACCAAATGTGGATGTGAGTACTGATTATCTTTTTCATCTTGGTATTACGCCAGTGTCGGGCCATAACTGGTTTACAGTACTATGCCAAAGCTGTCAAGTACAGTCGTGCTGCTGCGCCAGTTATAAAATTTCCATTAGGATATAATATAATTAAAAAACTAACAAAATTTTCTATAAAATTTTCAATGGTTTCTTTAATTATGTTTGATACATTCTGAATAATATGTGATAAAAGATTTAGTGTTTTCAATTCAAATCGTAAATTCTATTGACATTATTATTTACTAAATATTAGAAGTTCCAAAATCTTTCTCTTATCATATTTTTATTTATTACAAATGTTTGTAATTTAAAATGATATTTATAATATGAGAAATACATTGAAGCAATAACAAATAAAAAAGTGTAAGTAATTAATATTTTTTAATATATATAAAAATTGTGCATTATATTAAAGTTTCATCAATTTTATTAGACATCATTTAAAAAGAAACGTACCATCCTCTTAAAAATGAGCACTTTGAATGTCGAATTCACAAGAATCCCCACTCACATTCTTTCTGAACGTCATTTAAAAATCACAGAACATATCTACAATGAGTAGTGTGTTCTGTAGCTATGCCAGATCACACATCAGTCGTTTTTAGTTCTATGGAAAGTGTCAAGTGTAACTGCTTCGAGACAATTCTCCGGTAAACATGCAAAGTGCGCGTATATATTGTACACCGGAGTGTAATTTTTCAAACATTTAATAAGTTTTCTAATATTTTTAGAACAATAAAATTTTATTTTATTTTAAAAGAAAAAATCAACTTGTATATTGAAATTATACTTGTACTTTTTTAAAGAACGATTTGTAATATACATTATTAAATTAATTTATAATATAAATAATTCAGTGAATGATTGCAGTTTAGTACACAGTAACTTATGTTTTAATATTAAAAACATTGTGAAACATTTATACGAAATTCCTAAACAATATATGCAATTTTTTTAACTTAATTCAGTTCAATCAGTGCATGAATTTCTGATTTACTTTTATTTTATAAAAATAATAAATGATATAAAATAACTAAAAGAATTTAACATTTTTTTTAAATATTAAAAGTAAAATGGTAATTATTAAAAATAAGAGTCACATGTTCCATGTTAAGCAAATGTGTTTAATAACAATTTAAGTTTATCTTGAGAGAAAATTACTAAAATATTTAAACTGATATGATAATGAATATCTATGTTTCACAATGTATTCATCAGAACAAATTAAGAGAGTATAATGAGAAACTACTTATAATAAAAAAGAAAATTAAAAAATTTTATTTCAATGAATGAAAGATATATTAATAATTCTTTTTAAATACGTTACATACTTGTGATAACTTAATAGGAATTAAATTAAGAATATTAGTTAGCTATTTTGTTTTCTGTGAAATTGATTTAAAAATCCATACATTTAAATAGATTTTTGATAACATTACCTTCATAACACAATGTAAATAATACTCGAAGCTTATCTTAAGCCTATAAAAATATTTATCAATATTAAAATTATAAAGTTAAGGTAAAATAGCAGTAAGCATTAAATGATCGTCTCACAGTAAGCTAATACCATAAGAGCATTTTAAGTTGGAAATATACATAAAAATATAAATAAGTACAAATAAGTGTTACAGTATATTCATTCATATTAAGTTCAGCTTATACATAATCTACTGTAATCTTTCATTGTAAACTAATAGTAATCTCTAACGACAATCAAACACGGTAAGCATGGAATGTCAGTCTAGTCATTTCTGTAATTGTTTACACACACAAAATGTATTGTTGTATAGAAATGGAATGTAAGGTTACATTGTGAATTTCAGGTAAGTTTAAAGTGAGTTACAAATTTCCGCTATATAGTGAGCTTACAGTGCAAGGTTGTAAAATACTATAAGCTTACATTATTATTAACAAATGTTAATAAATATAATAATTAATTATACATGCGCAAAGATTTTCTTTTAACTAATAATAATTAATAATATTCGACAATAAAAACTTGTTTTTATTTTCTTTTAATAAGTCATAATTTTAAAATTTTAATTAATTTAATTTAATTTATTATTATTATTATTATTATTATTTATAATTTATTTTTTTATTTAATTTTAATTTAATTTTTTTTTAATTTAAATTTTCAAAATTATGACTTATTAAAAGAAAAGAAAAACAAGTTTTTAATGTCGAATATTATTATAATTATAAGTCGTAACGAAAAAATACATCATATCTTTAAAATTAATAATAATTTATAATTATTAATGGTAATGTAAGCTCACTGTAACATTACAGGAAGTTTAAAATAAACAGAATGGTGGATATTTGTAACTAACCTTTAACCTTAACCTAATCTTTTCCCAATTAGAATTGTCCGTAGCTCGCATTAATTAAACATTTTTTTATTACAAAATATATTTTATGTACTTCAAACTTTTTATACCTAAAGGATTTTAAACTACACAGGTCTACAAGGTATTTTTTTGATATATCAGTGTGGTTTCCAATTTATTTTTATGTGCTGAACATGATCCCGGGTTCCAAAATTGCGTATCATGTTAGGATTTTGAGTAAAGTAGGGGTAAAGTCTCTAAAATACATGTTTTTGAGGGTTTTTAGTATTTTTTTCTCCTTAACCTATGACGTGATAGTGACTTTTATATAGGCTTAAATTAAAGCTTATATCTTACACTTTAAGACTAATATGCGCAAGATAAAAAAAAATTTGAAAAAAATTATGTTCTAGTCACCCAAAAAGTTTATTGGGATTATTACCAACACTTTTTTCAAAATTTCAAATTTTTTTTATTATGTGCTCATGGGCCTTAAAATGTATGTTTTAAACTTTAATTTAAGCCTATATAGAAGTCTCCAGCAAGTCAGGTTTAGGGGGAAAAAATAATTAAAATAACTTACCTTAAAAATGCAGTTTTTTGGGTCTTTACCCCCATTTTTTTAAAAATTTCAAATTTTTTTTTAATCTTGCTAATGTAAGTCTTAAAGTGTACGATCTAAACTTTAATTTATCTTGCTGCCATGGCCGTCTGAAAATACCCCTACTTGTGATTGGCTGACACGATATCTAAAATTCAGGGCATCGAAAAAATAAAATTCTACCAGATCAACTATTTTCGATGAAAAAAACAATATAGCTGACTTTTTTCATTTTTTAACCTTTTATTTCAACTTCAATTGTTAAAAAAATTGGTTAAATATAAATAAAAACAAGTTGTAAATTCAGATGTTCATTATATGAACATTTTGCTTCCTCTTTACGATCAGCAAAAAAATTTGCTTCCTCGTGGAGAAAGCATTAACATTGAAATAAACATACATAAATAATATAATAATATAAACATTTGAGAATACAAAATTTTTTAGCTAAAATGTGAATTTTTGATTTTTTAACTTTCATTAATTCTTTAAATTTTAATCAAATCTATACTTTATATATACTAATCGATTTGTCTTGACGTAAGAAATACGATTTTATTATATATCACTTTAAGTTTTGCTATTTAAAAATTTTTTCGATAATAAAAAATTTTTTGGTAAAAAGACGATAAATTTTTTTTTCGGGGTATTTTTTAAAATCCTTTTGTCCATTTTGAGATATTAATGTGATAAATAAGCCTACCACATTTTACCCAAATCCATTAAAACCTGTTAAAGTTATCGTGTTCACAAAAAGGGGTCCATATATATATACACACACATACCCAAGAAGCACGTAATATATCCTCAATCTCAAGGTAATATTACACGTGAGATTCGTAATATAACGCTGTAATATTACAGTAATCTTACAGTGATCTTAAAATGTCCGCCTCAAGGTAATATTACCGGGAATATTACTGTAATATTAACGGTAATATTACAGTAATATTACAGACTGATTTGAGTTATTCATAAAGCATAAAAAACGTAAATATATTATAAGTCAATTTGGCTTGTTGGTAAAACTCTGGACTCGTGTGCTTTGAGTTCGGGGTTCGATTCCCTGGATGGGTAGATTTTTTTCGTAAAGAAATGTTCCCATAATATTACTGTAATATTCTCTTGTAATATTACCTTAATATTACGGTATAAAATTACTGCAATATTACTATGTAATATTAACTTAATATTAGCGCGTAATATTACAGTAACATTACCGGTAATATTACCTTAATATTAGCGCGTAATATTACAGTAACATTACCGGTAATATTACCTTGAGGCGGACATTTTAAGATCACTGTAAGATTACTGTAATATTACAACGTTATATTACGAATCTTACATGTAATATTACCTTGATATTGAGGTTATATTACGTGCTTCTTGGGTATACTTACATCCGGACAATTGATCAGGATTTCATATAACATGTTTCTTTATAGAGGAAAATTTGTTTTCGCCATTTTGAAAATTTTTATAAACTAAAGGACTACAAAGCTTTGTTTGTTTTCATGATTTATATGTCAAATAATGTAAGTGATACGAAAAGGAACAATTTTTTAAAAAATCTTAAGAAAATTGTTCCTTTTTGTATCACTTATATTATTTGACATACAAAACTTACATTTTTTAAACATATGTTTTTATACCAAATAAGTTCGCTCCGTGTACGGAACCCTCGATTTCAGTGCGAGTTTAACTCGTACTTGTCGAATTTTATTTTCAATTAAAATAAACACTTAAAAAAAATGTGAATAGAATATCGAATTAAAAAAGGAAAAATAGGAGGAAGAGAAAAAAATACATAGAACAGAGAAACGAATAAAAAACTTATGGAAAAAGTCCACTTTTTTAAAAAAATTTTCTTTTTCGAAAAAAACTTAATTAAAACAATTTCTTATCATGTTTGTTAAATTATTTCTCTAATCTACACACAGGAATGCGTAAAAATAAATAAATTTTATGCCCTTTAGATAAAATTTTCATCGTTTTTGGGAGAAAATTCATGATTTTTTCTATTACTATCAGTTCTTTCCTGACAGCACCAGGACCATCAACTCCAATCGTCCTCGCTATATTTTTTCTGTAATTTTCACGTAAAAATACATAAGTATACCAAATATGAGTTTTCTATGTGAAAAGATGTGGCTACTAGAGGGGGTATATAATCATTTTTAGTCATTTTTCTTGAAAATTCATGGTTTTTCCTTGACAACTCTATGTTAATCAATTCCAATCAAGTTCGCTATATTTTTCCTGTAATCTACACGCAAAAATACATATGCGTAGTAAATTTCAGCCCTCCAAATAAATTTGTGTGGCCGCTAGGGGGGGGGGGCCTGTACACGATTTCAAAAAAATCGATATTAATAGGGTTCCGAACCGAGTATATTATGATTGTAGTTTGGCCTATAGCGGTATATGTGTAGAATAAGCCATAAAAATTTTAGCATAATCAGTGCAACAGTTTTTTTGTCAGTCAGATCATAAAACGTTGTTTTCAGAAAAAGCGAATTTACGAAAACATGTCCTTTTTCAAGAAAATACCTACTAACGCGACTGGTTATATGGATATAACAAGGAGGAGGTCCTTTATGTTTATTTCATAATCATTTTGCTTCCTCATTGTGTCAAGCAAAAAATTTGCTTTCTCGTGGAGGAAGCTATAAATTTCTCTAATTCAATTTTTACTAATTACAATTTAATATATTTTATAATTAGTAATTAATATTATTTAAATTATATTTATATATTGCTGTTAATTTCAATAAAAATATTCTTTTGTTTTTTTTATAGATTTTTGAAATTTATTTTTTTAATCGAAGAAAAAACTTTGTCACGAATTTATTTATTTTTATATTATATATCCATTAACATAACCTCAAACTAAAAAGTAGTTTTTAACAAAACTAAAAATATATTTAAAATTTATTACACCCAAATTCGACATATCCAATTGTACAATATATATTAATTTAAATAATATTAATTACTAATTATAAAATATATTAAATTGTAATTAGTAAAAATTGTAAAAAATATATTATTTAATAATATTTGTACACAATTACAAAAGTAATTCGCAAAAGTATTTCACGAAAGTATTTTACAAAAGTATTTTACAAAAGCATTTTACAAAAAAAAGAATTTCACAAAAGTGCAACAACTGTAAAAATACGCTGACAATCGCAAACGACCATAACTTACACGTTTGTCAAATAGCGCTGTAAAGTCGCTGGCTTGAGTCTTGAAAAACGGCCTAGATAAGACGAACTCGACTACGTCTATTGAAACGCTTCTTAGCGAATTGCAAGACCGACTAGTTTAGACGGGATTGCCTATGACTGGTAAGACTATTTCTAGATGCTAGACTTCCACAAAATTTTTCCACACGGTTTATATTATAATAATTTATCATCTTTATTATGTATTATTACAATATTATTCATTATAATTATACCTATAATATTGTAATAATTAAAGAATTATTATTTGATACATTGTAGAGATGATAAATCATTAATATAACGTTAAAAAACAATATTATTATTAATATATATTATAATATATTTAACAATAAAGGCAATGGATATGGCTTTTATATAAATAGAAATAATTTTATAATTATATTAAAAATATGTATGTAATTTAGGGATAAAAACATTTTGAATTTAGCATAAAGGCGCGCCAAAAACATCACCGGTATTAACAGATTGTCGCCAAGTAGCCAGCGTGGCCCCGTGGTTAGCGTTGTAGGTTTGCGAGTGTTAGGTCGTGGGTTCGGT